CCCCCCGGGGTAAAGGCTCGGTCGGCTGTCACATCAGTACCAGCCCATGCCATTGCTGTGTTTATGAGAGATTCGCCTTACTCTCCAAATTCAGGCTTTAGGACTACACACCTGATGCCATCCCATCTCATCTATTTTTGACAACACGTGTAGGTGAAGTTTTAGGTTTTTTATGGTAGGCACCCAAAACCAGTCCTTTGGATCAGTCGTACGAGTGATATTACTAAAGTGCATCTCTTTTAGATGCACTTTAAAAATAAGTTGTAACTCTGGAAGGACCTGGTTGGAAGAAAGGGGGTGTGATCTTGTATCAAACTGGAGAAACACAGTATGGGGACCCTCCTCCAGCTGTTTTGTGCTTTCTGATTTTTGAAAGAAAGGAAACTTTGCAGCGTGTAATTCTAAGAAGATTGCAAGGAACAAAAAAAGTAGACCAGGCTCTTCATGGGGGAGGGGAGTGGGGTCTGACTTAGTCACACCAACTGCAGCTGAAACGTTCATTTATTATGACCCCATGCATTCTATTAAGGCATAAAATAGCCCCTTTTCTTCCCATAGCCAGCAGTTCTATATTAATTCAGGAGCTATAAGGCCAAGTTCAAAGTCACATCATTTTCTAGCTGGAAAGTAAGGACACCTTATATATGAAATACAGGCTTTTCAACAGGTACTGTTACCCCGCAGCCCGAGGTGAACTTTTTATTTAAGTATGAGCAATCTCACCCTTTCTGTGGGTTAACTTTTGGCGGCCGAGATACGTGTTGGTAACAAGTGTAAACGCCAAGTGAATGAGGGCTCAGGTTGAAAGGTCTGTGGCTCTCCCTCCATAAGTAAATCCACAGATCCGGTTATGAGGAGGGCTGGCTCTTCCCCTTCAGACAGTCGCATTGGAGCCCCGGATGTAATTCTCACCGCCGTGCGCACATTTCATCAGCGAGGTGTGCGTGGGCAGAGGAATGATGTAGCATTTTAAAACACATTCTTTTATTTTTAAGTGCACGCCCAACATCGTGACAAATTCTATTTAGTATGAAGTTGGAACAAACTTAATTCAAGGTGAATTTCTACCTCGTGAAGTCAGGTGGTTTCAAACGTGCCACAAAGATCCATGAGGAACGGGACTGTGACGCTCCATTTGGTTGTCTCTGAACTTGGTTGGGAGTTCCATGCAGACCTCTGGCATCGCGTGCAAACAAACCAAAGAAGAGGATGCAAAAGTGAAACCAGTCTTGTGGCTGCTGTCAGGGCGACATTCCCTCCACTGACGACGTGCTTGTGTTTTCCTCTTTGAATGTGCTTTCCCCTCCAGAAGTGTTAACACCATCCATTCACGCTCTCACTCTGGGAGTTCATGCGGAGGACAAGCGGCCGGAGCCCCAGCAGCAGGCGGCCACCCGCCCGCGCTCCGGCTGCCCCCACCACCTTCCCTGTGCGTCTTTACAGGGCGAAGGTTCTTTACAGGGCGTTGCGATTCTGGCCTTGGTAGTCAGGCTGTCCTGTCTTGGCTGCCGGGGCTTAACTCAACCCACTTTTACTTCGTCTTGGCTGCCCATCTAACAGGCAAAGCTGCTAGAAATAACTGGGCATATTTACCACTCATCCATTGGTCATTACAGAATCATTTCTATAGACAAGGAAATCATACCGCCAGGCAGAACTTTTGGGGTCATTTACTTCCACACCATCATTTTACAGACAAAAAATAAAAGACCTTTCCGTATAAGCTATGGAAGCACAGACTTCACCTCCCCTACCCATAAAAACAAAACAAAACTGTTGTGTGTGAAAGGCTGCCAACATAATTCTTCATACTCAGGAATCAAATTAGTTAATGGGTTTAAATGTAAGGAATTTAAAAATTATATTCACTATGTGGGTAGGAAAAGGAAAAATACTTTTTATTATATACAGCACATTTTGGTGTAATATATGTAATCGCCTTAACGGAATAGCTATATATTCTGACAATATTACAAGATTTAAAAATATAAAATCCAAAATTTGTAAATTCCAAGGGAAAAAACAACAACAACAACCCAGCTGCATCTACTAACAAGTTATGGAACTTGCACCGTGGCCTTTCAGAAGGCTTATATGAAAAACATTGTTCAGCCGTCTTCAGATTTACCATTTTAAACGGCCTTTTGCAGCTGAATGCTCTGCACTCTCTCTTGTTTGTCAGGTAGATTGCCTGGCAGATGTTTTCGTCCTTTTTAAAAATACAGTATTAAGCATGCCTGCTGCTCGCTTCATCAGCTACAAGAAATATTCATGGCTCATTCTGTTGGGAGGTGACTCACCTGAAGCTTTGTTCCCAAATTAGTAACATTAGGAACCTGGCAGCCTCTCACTTAGCAAGTGGTGCTTCCCACCAATTAAATGGAAAAAGTCTACTTATTCCCACACAAACTTAGGCTTTCACCTGTCAGAGGAAGATGAGACCATCGCCAGCAGCTGTTTATTTTGCTGGCAGGTTGATGCCGACAACAAAGTGATTTTCCCCAGGTGAATTACACCCTCGCATTGGCATGGCAATGACTAATAAAGTATTCATGGAAACTACTTAAGCGTGTCATCCCCTTCCTACAGTGTGTCGCTGCTGCCGCCAAGTGACAGGTCTGAAGAATCAGCAAATCTCACCCAATTAGAGCATCATTCCTCTCCTAAACCAAGGCCCCTGCTACCCCCTGGACAAAGACACTGTCTTCCTGTGTGATGAACGAAGACGCTTTCCTAAATCACACTGGACCCACAGGGCCATCCCTCCGAATTCAGGGCTTCCCAGGAAAGAATGGCCTGGGTGATTCAGAAAATAACGTCACCCCAGCCGGTTTGGCTCAGTGGATAGAGCATCAGCCTGCAGACCGAAGGGTCCTGGATTCGATTCGAGTCAAGGACATGTACCTCGGTTGCAGGCTTCTGCCCGGCTCGGGCCCTGGTCGGGCATGTGAGGAGGCAACCAATCGATGTGTTTCTCTCACATCGATGTTTCTCTCTGTCTTTCCCTCTCTCTTCCACTCTCTCTAAAAATCCATGGAAAAATATCCTCGGGTGAGGATTAAAAAAACAAAGAAAGAAAAGAAAACAGTGTCCTTCCCTGAACCGTCTAATTTTAGGGTTGAGGGAGTTTCAAGTTCAGTTTGGTTAATTTTCCACAACCTCACACAAAATCAGACTATACGACAGGAAGGGAAATTCTCTGTCTTAAAAATCCACCAGTCCCACCCTAAACGTGCAACTCTGAACACGCCAGTCCTTGAGGACGTATGCGAGGACTGCCCTCGTGAGCAACCTCGTTCTTGAACTGGGCTGAGAGCTTTTCAATTGCTGTGACATTTTCAGCCAGGGAAGTAGTCGTGGTCGCAGGGCAATGTTTTACAGGCAATTACTTTAGATGATCAATGGAGCAATTCCCCTTCCAGAAAGGAACCAAAGCGATCAAGTTAAATCATTAAAGAGAGAAAGAGGGAGCCAGAGAAAGGGTTCGTCTCATTAGCAGGTGCCTGTGCTGCAGGCTCCGCGGAGGGGAGGTTCCCAATGTCCCTGGCCCTTTAAGACAATAGCTGGGCCCCCTCCACCACACCACCCCCTCCCCCGTAGCTGTTGACAGGTCTAAACCTCCCTGGCAGCCCATTGTGGCCGCAGTAGGAGGCACCTGCAGAAAATGTGCCAAAACCAGGCAGGGAGCAAGAGCTTTTCAATAAGCGCCGCAGCTGGAGAGGAGAGGCAACACTAAACAAGCAGGCGCGGCCAGGCATGTGATGGGAAAAGGGGTCAAAGCCAGGCACCTCCTATCGGCTTTCTGAGCCCCGTTCGCTTCAATTTGCTGACATCTTCTAGCTGGCTTTTCTCTATTTGCTTAATATGCTGAGGTATTTAGCTTAAAAGCACTAAATGCTTCATCGCAATGAGCTGCTCTCTCTCTCTCTCTTCCCCATTTACTGTTATTAAGGACATTTTTCCCGTATTTTCTCTCCCTTTCTGCCCCAGACGAAGATTGTTTTCTTTCCCTTCCCTCTGATGACTAGGTTACAAGCATCCTCTACCACTAACTGCCCGCTTGATCTTACTCATCTTTAATTCAGAGACAAGTAAAACTCTCCAAATCCAGTATGTGAGCCCTTCCCAAAGCACACTTCCTGACTGCCTGAGCCCGGGTCTGCAGGCCGCATTGCTTTCCCACGCAGTAAACGTTTATTGCGCATCTACCGTGCGCCCACCACGGTTCTTGGGGCTTCCAGAAATCCGGAGAGGGACCAGACACCCCGCAGAGAGGCTGACTCATGTAATCGTGGGTTTGGGAACTTGTTTTGCACCCCTGTACGTTCCTAATGTCGTATTCTCAGTCCTTCGAGAATAAGCAAGAGTCC